TTGTGCTGACACCACTGACCTGAGGTTGTCAGCAGAGTTCAGAAGTGTGAACTGCACCAGCTAAGAGAAATACTCTCACAAAACCTGAAAGTGGTAAAATTATTAATAAAATATATAAGACTTGACTCACAAAATGAATCATCTATATCTTGATCAATTGGATCTCTACTCATAAACTATTCGTTGAGTCTAATAACAGATTCACCTTCTGTTTTCTACAAGGAAGAATAATTAGGATGTTAAAGACAGTGGAGGAGAATTTTCAGGAGAGAGAGCAGAGTCTTTGATACAGCTATAATAGAAACAGTCTGCTCCCTACTGCTAAATTCATACAGTACTTCAATGGCAGAATCTTTTTAGTCAGAGGAAAGTGTGGAGCACATAAAGGTAGTGACCTACTTTGCTTCTAGTACATTCAAGACTGTTGGGTAAATGTTAAGGAAACAAGGCATAACCCCAATTATAGTACAGCAAAGTACACTTATAGTATGTTATGTACATTACAGTATAAAAGGTAAAGCACAGTATAGTACAGTATAGTATAGTACATTATAGTATAGTGAGTATAGTACAGTAGAGTAGAGTAGAGTAGAGTAGAGTGAGTAGAGTACAGTATAGTATAGTACAGTATATAGTATAGTATAGTACAGTGCAGAACTGACCAGTATAGCAATAATACCCCGATTTACGAGGTCAATTGAACCCGAGAGGTCCACTGTGAAACGAGAAAATGGTAAATGGAATAACAGAACAAATGGGATTAATTGAAATAGAGACTGGCTGACTCTAAACCCACTTTTTCGGACACAATACCTATGTCGTGAAGAAAAATAACATCTTAATTTTATGATGGTATGCATACAAATTAATAAGAGATATACAGTTGCAGGTTAATGTCCATTCAAATAATGGACTAACTCCCTCCCCCCTCTTCCCAAAGTTCGCTGGCCTCCTCTCCGAGAAAATGTTTGGGTAAAACACTAGATTTAAGGTATAGTAATAAATAATACCTCAAACTAAAGTTAGGATAATATAATTGACATTGCTGGATTCCTTTGCAAGACCAGGAATATTTTGAATAAACAGGTGACATATTTTGCCTAAAAGATAACATATTTGCTCTGAGTAACAAAATTTTTACATTAGATCTAAAATTTGTATGTCTAATGCAAAATCTATGATGTTTATATCTAAAATGATCATCATATTGTAAGAATTCCAGCAATGTAAATTATATTCTGGCCTGGTAATTTGTATGAATTTTATGAGCTAAAAAATTATACTTCACCTGGCGATATGAGTAGATGCAACTGCGAAAGTGAATTCTGGTTCTGGCAAGGTACTGTGTAAATGTAGAAACTCAGAAATCCAGAACCGCAGAAGCTGGGTATTACTGTACAGTAGTACAGAAGTGTACAGTACAGTACAGCAGTACAGTACAGTGACTCCTCCGCAATTAACTCAACTGCTCCAGAAGGTCACGTTAACCGGAAAGTTCGGTTAACCAAAACCATTGTTTCAATGGGTTTTGGGTAATTGGTTCCAGTCACCGAAAATTTCCTAAATTCAACAAAATGGTAGAAAGTTCACTTACTTTGAGGTGTGTATGAAGGCTCCTGATGATGATGATGATGATGGATTTGAATGGGAGGTGGAGGAGAAGGAAGAAGAGAAGGCATTGGGGTGAAGAGAAGTCACCCCATGGCGCCATTTCACCCATAAAATTTAGCTCTCTGGTAATTCAAAATTATTTTTTTTAAATCAACACTGCACTGTATTATATATTGTCAATATATAAAATATATTTCAAAATGACCAATAATTTGTTTGAAACACAGAAAAAAAGCGCTTAGTTGAAGAGAGTCTCAAGCAAGATGTTACCTCCAGTGAAAACAGAGAGAGACTAACTCCTGTTTGCTGTGTTAAGAGGCTGGATGCCGCCAGATAAACTAGTCACTTTACTTTCAATTATGTTCAATAATTGTTAAATGACTAAAAATTTTATATTAAACTTTTAAAATTATTGAATAGTATAAACTTCTTGATATTTACTAAAATAGTAAGAATTTAAGCCCCAGAACCGATTAATGTATTGGCGGACTGATACTAAAGCTGGTTGCGCCGTCAGTGCAAGCGAAAACATGAGGTCGGTTCAGAAGAACTTCAGAACCGAATTTTTTTTTCGTTAACTGAATTGAAGATCCTTATGAAGGCAGTTCGTTAATCAAAATTACGTTAACGAGGTGTTCAAATCGAGGGTCACATAGTATAGTATAGTATAGTATAGTATAGTACAGTATAGTATATAGTACAGTACAAGTGATCGCGGGCTCGTGCTCCAGTTCGCCGTCCGCTAACAGCGCATAGCGAATGAGGGTGCGCCAAGTCTGTAGACTGGCATCGCTTCAGCGAAATAAATGGTTAATTAATGCCTTCCTAAAGAAACCATCGACATGGGACCAGGTTTGTTCCACTCTACAATTTTTTGTGATTTTTCACCAAGTTTGATGAAAAAAACGATGCTGCTTCGCTGGCGCAGAAGAGACAGACGGACAGACAGACACACTCTGCTATTCCTATAGTATATTAGATAGTACAGTATACAGTATAATACAGTATAGTACAGTACAATATAGTATAGCACAGTACAGAACATTGATCTCGTTAACAAAATTTCGTTAATCTAATTACCTTCCATAAGATTTGTCACTTCGGTTAACAAAAAATTTCGTTACCGTAACAAATTCTTACAAATTTTTCCCAACATGCTCACCCCCACTTCAAATTCCCATCATCGTCATCAACCAGAGCCTTTACATGCACACCCCCAAAGTAAAGTGTACTTTACTGAATTTATTTTAGTTTGTATGTAATTTTCGAGCTGAACCAACTACTAAGATCCCATTGGAAACAATGGTTTCGGTTAACGAAATTTCGGTTAACAAACGACCTTCTGGAAACTAATTGTGTTCGTAACTGAGGGACCACTGTATAGTAAAGTACAGAACAGTATAGTATAGTACAAGTCTATAATTCGACATTTTATATTTGGACACCAAAAAACACTACACAATTCAAAATTTCGACGGGTTTGAGCGCCCGCATTTCTCTTATGTAAAAAAGATTTATTGTTTATACTTTAATTCTTTTTGATTGAATTATTGTTTGTGTGCAAATGAACAATACAATTCATAAATAATATGTAGAATATTAAACGCCTCGAGGAGACGAGATGGCATTGTTTTTGTTGTTTACAAAACCAGTGACTGATTGGTTCTACATATAAAACTGAGAAAAAATAAGATCCCGATTGT